CAACTGTATAAACTGGAAGGCACGTGTTTTAAACATATGTTAACCAAACAACTGTATAAACTGGAAGGCACGTGTTTTAAACATATGTTAACCAAACAACGGTATAAACTGGAAGGCACGTGTTTTAAACATGTTAACCAAACAACTGTATAAACTGGGAGGCACGTGTTTTAAATATGTGTTAGCCAAACAACTGTATAAACTGGGAGGCACGTGTTTTAAACATATGTTAACCAAACAACTGTATAAACTGAAAGGCACGTGTTTTAAACATGTTAGCCAAACAACTGTATAAACTGGGAGGCACGTGTTTTAAACATATGTTAACCAAACAACTGTATAAACTGGGAGGCAAGTATTTTAAACATATGTTAACCACACAACTGTATAAACTGGAAGGCACGTGTTTTAAACATATGTTAACCACACAACTGTATAAAAGTAGGTGTACTAAGAATACGAAAAAGAAAACTTGCGCCAAGCTAAGCCTATATGTACTGTTTAGAACAAAATGTTTTTATCATAGTTTAAATTTAAAACAATAATGGAAATACTGGTGTAGAACTGTAAGGTATGTCAAAATCGAAAAGGTTATTTTTTAGATACGTTTTCTTGATACATTACACTCCTAACTGTGGAATCTTCCCTTGATGTTTATTGAATCATTATATATAAATCGTTTATATATTATCTTCATGAAACACTTTTTTATCTTAACTATTAAAACACTGACAATTTTGATTCTTTTTAGTCTCCATGTCATCTTCCCCAATTTACTGTTGAAAATACACCTGAGTCTTGTGAAAAGTATTTTTTTTTTCTGTCAAGAATTCTTCAAATGAACCTTTATCTCTTATCTGGCAATATTTCTGGAGATCTTACAAACTTCGTGTAATAAGGCGTATTAAATGATTCTATATTTCATGCGAAACAAAATAATAACAATATTATACATTAGCTGAAATGAAATATAAATATGTGTGTATTTAGTTGTCAGAAATGGTCCTCAAGCGAAGTTTTGTTCTTACCTCACATAGTTTGTTTTGACTTTGGGACTTGTGTATCACAGAACATTAGTATATTGTTAATATTTAAAAAAAACAACAAGAATGCTTTAGGAATAATAACTACTTATAGTACTCAACAAAGCGGTATTAGTTTGTGAAATGTTCGTGAGCAACAATAAACAATGATTAACGTCAGTATAGCTGACAAACATTCTCCATTCTATCCCACATACTTAATGATTGGTGTTTTTGTTGAAGAACGATTATTTGAAATCGTATGTTTCAAAACAGCGGATTTCAATGTTTATCTCTTTAAACATTCCGCAGTTTTCCAACGATGATCCATTACAGAATAAATGCCAACTAAACGAACGAGAACCTTATGCACATAGTATAGCCAAACGCTACCTTACACTGACGGACCGGTTCCTTTTTCTTTAGAATTTAGATAGTAAGTCCTGTTACAAACAATATGTAAACATGTATATAAATAAACATATATCCAAACACGATACCTCCAGCTCTCCATCGTGCGTATATCCTCCCGTTGTTTGGGGATTGCAATATATAGTTGTTGAATTGAAAATAATGGGAGGTCGCATAAATGTATTAGCCCTTGGAAACAAAATGGAAACCCCTTTACACTACCTTTAACAAAGTCAATGTAGCTGTATTACGTCGAAAACCAAAACTGTCAGTTGTTAAGTTATTTTCTGTAAAACTTTGGTTATTAATTTACAAAGGTAAATCTATCCAATTGATGTTTATGATAACTAAGTGGGGTATTTCATAAAGGCGAGGGCATTTCCTTCCTAGCACAAAATGCTTTTATTGGTATGGTATTAGATAATTACGTGAACTATTTTAAGGATCATCATTAAACTTTATCAAGCGTGTATATTTTATTAAGCACGATCCTATCATTTTCCTAACTTTGTGTTTTATGCTATATGCAGTTGTATATGACATATAAAAATGTTCTTCCAATAATTTGTAAAAATAAAAAATAAACATAAATAAACAACTACCCAGTAACTTCAAATACTGATTTTTTTAGATCTAAAGATCCATACAGGGAATGGTTTGCTAATTCTCAGTTTTAGCATTTCACAAAATCCTTAAGTTATAATTGTCATACTAAGATGCAGACAGATGATGATGAAGAAGAAGAGAGAAAAAATGTTTTAAGTCGTCTAGTAAATACCGTTTTAGATTATAAAGTTCTTACCTGAAGTTGTGAACCAGTCTGTGAGATCTGCAGTTGCTGAGTTTGCGACAACTGCAAATTCGAACGGGAAGATGGTCGATAATGTTGTGTGGGAGAGGAAACAACCCCGGGGCTGGGTCCTCTAACAAACTGATTATGTACACTGGATGTTTGTCCAGCTGTGAAGTGTGAAAGAGGTCTAGTGGACCCGTAAGCAGAAGGCTGAGGCATTCCTGACTGTGACTGTTTGTTATCTGGACTGGGAACTCCGTAATGAGACCCACTCATCACTGACTTCTGCTCTGGTGGTAATTGGTGCAGATGCTGCATCTGCATGACCTGCTGTTGTTTCTGGTACTCCATTCCTGGTACTGGCGCCATGTTATTTGTTGTTGTTATGCCTTGGCTCCCAGGAAATACTCCGTTCTCAGTTTCCTGTTTAAAAGGTCCGCTGCCACTAGCTGGCCGGACACTTGTAAAGTTTACTTGTTTATCGTAACTGCGTGCTGCGAGCATACTGGACGCCTGTGTCTTTTGAGCTGTGTTTACCTGTCCGCTGGATGCTGACATAAACCCAGACCTTATGGGAGGTAATGTCATGGATTCTGTGAAGTTTTCATTGGTAAATGGAGATCTAGAATGAGGGGAGCTCATGTTTAATCCTATTTGTTGTTTCTGCTGTAAACTCTGATGTTGCTCAGCCATTTGTTTCAAAGTTTGAGCAGCTGGGCTAGGCTCACTCAACTTAAAGTCCAGTCCTAGTGTTGGACTCACACTGAAACTACCAGAATGGGTGTAATTAGACGAATGGGGGCTTTGATAAGTAGTCGAAGGAGTTACAGAAACAGATGTGTGGTTTCCCATGGGCGAACCTCTTGGTCCAGGACTGAATCCTGATGTACCACCTTGTGCCTGCATAGTAGAGAATGGACTGTGGGTGCTGGAGAAGTGTCCATGGAGAGGCGGAGTGCTGTGAGATTTTCCAGTGATATCTAGCATGGGATCAACGGTTTCTTTGGGTTCTTGGTCTTGTTCTCTGTCACTGTCGTCAAAATTGAAGTCCTTCATTAAATCGGACGGATTTCCTGTCGTTAAAACGTCATCAATTAAATCTTTTAAGATGTCAGGATCAATTACGTCACCACTGGAATCGTCGGGAAATCCAAGAGTAGAGAAAGCGTCCGAAAAACGTTCTCCCACGCCAGAATTATTCCCGATTGTAGAATTGTGGTTGTTGCACGTGCTCAGTCCCATACTGGAACACTGATTTAAGTTTCCTACTTTTTCCTGCTTACACTCGATACTTGTCGCTGAAGAAACCTGAGGTTCCTGAAGCGTGTTGCACTGACCACTTGCCATCGAAGTCATGGGAGACTCTGGATGTACAGCTTTCACAGTAACATTGGTCTGGATAGTTTGTGAGTTTTGTACATGAGAGGAATCTGAACTAGAGAACTGCTGGACAATTTGTACCGAGAAACGTGGGAGGCTGGACTGGCCTTGTGTCTCCCGTTGTCCTTGGCTTGGCGAGCTACTTCGGCAAGCTAGCTTGACCTGACGTTCTGGCGGATCCCCAAGCCCATCACTTTGATTTAATGGCGTATCAAGGCTTTCTGCTGGCCGCTTGGCTGGTTTCTGTTGAAAGGCAAAAACAAAACAAAAATATCAAAATAATGCTTAAAGAAATAAGTTTAATAAGCTAATTGGTCTTGTGAAAATTATTTCATTGGTTAGTTTACAACAATGTGCCATTTAATAAATAAATAAAGTTTTCCATTACACTCGAATTATGTCTGTTATAAACACTTAGACAAAAAAAAATAGTGAGAAAGTTTTTTTAAAAGGTTCACAATTAATCCGGTAAATTCGTAAATTTACTTTAAAATATGTCATTTAACCATTTCTCGATTAAGGAATATGGATTTTATTCAATAATAATCCAGATTATTGGCCCCTTATCGCACTCTTAGTGCTTACCGTGCCACTGCCTGGCCTGGACACTAACAACCAAAAAGTCTACCCACTTCTAATTTTAAAACCACTATAACGCTACTTACTCTTGCAATACCACCTAAAAACTTTCAGTAAGAACTCTGCCAATTAATAATTCCAAAAAATAATCAAGTTTATAGATATGAAAGACAACGTTGTTATAAAAACCCAATATAATTAAAATATATATATATATTAAAACTACTAGGCTAGAAGATCAAGGTTTCACCACAAGCATATTTAGACACATGGTTTATTCAAAACATTTTGGAAACAGTACGGGGTGTTTTCAAAACACATTATTCTGCATACCCGAGTCGCTTTTCTCGAATATGAACACTGTCTTATGTCTCTCTCTATCATCAATACGAGATTCTAAATATGGATAATGTGTGTCAGTGTGTAGGATATTGCAAGGATAAATGAACGCTGTCCAGAACAGATGATGCTTGCTGTAGCTCCATTTCATGGTATGTTGATTGAGAATAGCGGAAAGCGTATTGAACACTCTTCTGTGAAAGTTTCTGAAACATCTGCACCACGTTCAAACTCTCCTGAATAAAACTTAAGATTCTAACTACGCCTATGATGAAATTTAGTTCCCCTAGGACAAGAAGTTTTTGATTTATAAATATTTTAAATATTGGGTTTTCTTTATAATACTTCTACACACAGTTGAATGCAACTAAGTTACGCATAACAGCTTAACTTAGCAACAGAGTTAATCCAATATACTACTTTTCAAGTAAACCTAACTAATACCTGAACTAGGGGTCGCAGATCTGTCCTTATGCTAACGTGACTCCCTAAATCTCCGGTTTACAGAAGAAAATTCCGAGATTTTGGAGACTGTATTCATCATTTCTGAACCAGGTGGGTTTCACTGACATCCCCCGATTTTTTAACTTTCTCACAGTGGCGATAATACATTTCATAAAACATTTTAACCAATGCGGTTTCTTGATTAAACTTTATTAAAAGCCAAAAGAAAGCTGCCTGTACTCAAGTTTAATCGCTTCAGTCTGAATACTCAACGACCCTTCTTACTTAATGATGGTGACCCACATACAAAAGGGATCCATTCACACGTTACAAGATATGATAATAGTTTTTATAACAAAGCTATTCGTGTCAATGCTTAAAGTTTTACCAATCTCATTAAGCTAGATAAGAAAAGCAGATAGTTTCATTACGTTTGATTAAATCAAAACAAAACGTAAATAAACAAATGATTTAAGATTCCGACAAGGATCCCAGGTTTTGAGCCACTATAGCATTTATGAATTTGATTACCAATATTTTCTAAAAAATATTGAAAATAGAAAATATTCTCATTAATTTTCACCCAATAAACAAAATCCATCACACGTTAATTCCAATAAAACAAACGATATTTTATGTTAAATCACAGTAGAATCCGAATTCAGTCACTTCAGTGTACACTACAACACACAACAACAGAGAGAGAGTAAGGTATATTTTGCAACATTTTGGAAGTTTTAGGGATAAGTTTGTGTTTGACAGACGAACGGTCGAAGGTAGATTCGTGAATTTTAAGTGCTGCTTTAATATAAAATTCTTTTTATCGTGTTACTTCAATTACCAGCATATGAAAACGTTTTGCAAAAGAAAACATACACTAATCGATTAGCGTGGGCACAGCAATAACATTTTCTAACTTTTAGTGACGTTTTCCTTTTAATTTTCATTGTTTCAAAATAAATGAAATCAAGTATTTCATAGCATTTGGTCAAACATACATGAACATACAGCAAATTGCAATTAATTATATTCAACGTATATCACCATACTAGGATAGCTTACAATAGTGTAACTATTTTAGCTAGATATTATAGCAATTTAACTTATTTTCCTCTATTACCTGTGAACATTTTTTTTTACTTTATTATTCATCTTGAAACAAAAAACACAAACTAATAAATCTATCAATAATGATTTTATTTCGACTGTAGTAGTTTAATGTATAGCAGGCTATTTTTCTTGCATCAGCTCCATTTAACGCATATTTTTGATTCGGTAAAAAATACTGTTAATACCATAAACATGAATGGGATGGAGAACTGTCAATCCATATTTTCAATATTTAATTTCAAAGATAAAAACGGCGCAACACACAAAAAAAAGTAAGACTGAAACTTGTAGCAGAAAAGTGTGAAATGTGATACGAATATCATTTTTTATCACATATAAGTATTTTATATGTGACTTATACCAATCGTTTTATATATCTATGCTGGTGTATGATTCTTGTAAAACAACTCGACTAAATTTCAGTCAAAGCTCTATTACAAAAATACATCTATAAATGGAACCTACAGTAAACATAACTGTCTTGATACAAGTTACTATTTTCTCATTTTTAAATACTTTTACCATTTAAACTATTACACTTTTGAACATTAATTTTTAATAACTTATTCCGTAAACATGTAACGATGCCTGAAATATAATACTTTTTATAAAAGTCTTTATATGTTTCATACAGAGAAAGAAAAATATACACGTTTTCATAATCTTTCAAGTAAGATTTATTTCAATCACAGGCTGACTGAAAGTGATATCAGTGTTAATGTGTAACCTGTACTCTTACCTAAAAAAAAGGGGGGGGGTATACAGAAACGCTTACCTAATAGCTATTGAACACTTATACTTACAAAACTTGAGATGAAATATAAATGCTGCATTTTATATCGTTACATAGTTTGTATATAGAAAAAAAAAAGACTATAACATTACCTGAGTAGATACTGTTTACACCAGATTGTATATTTTGAGTTTTAATATATCATGTGCGAATTCCAATTTCAACATTCCAACTCCTACAGTTACTTCTTATAATATAACAAGCTAAATTCGTTTTATTTCGAAAGGTCGAATTTCAACATGTAGGCTGCATTCTTCTATGCTTGTATTGAGTGTTCATTTAACTTGCGTTCGTGCCAGTTAAAAGGAAAAAAAATACAACTTTGTTTTACGTTATTACAATGTAGCATGTTACGTTTCATATAGCTCCTTTAAAAGTATGTATAAAAATATATTAACATAAAATCGTTCCTATGTACTGACCTACATAGGAAATTAACCTTAAAAGGGCAGTGACATGCGTCTCTAGATTGAACGCACTGCATCGTATTTACCGAGTGTCAAAATTAAAACTGCAGCTTTTTGTTTATGAGCATCATAATATAACCATATTAAGTACATTTACGTCTTTTAGGAATTGATTAAGAACTTAAGATCATTCTCCAAAAATGTTTTATGTGTTTTATTCGTAGATGACAAGGGTAGCTCACCATATAAATAAGGGAATAAGAATTTATTTTATTTTAGAACGATATTCTACCTTTAAACATTCCACTTTATATTGTTTACGCCGAGATTTTGCCAGAAATGCCTCTAACACGATGAAAGTGTCGTATTAGTAATATTACTTATTGCATATTAACATTTTTCTTAGATTTAAAATACGTAAACGAAAATAGATTCAAAAAACTCTAACATTTACGTGAACGATTTGATGATTGATGCAAATTAATTACTTTCAATGAATCTGTCTTCCGAATAGTCAGAGTACACATTTTTAACTTTTTTTATTTTTATGGTCTGGATCCCTTGGCCTGACATGGCATGGTGTTTTGGGTGTTCGGCCAAGTGAGTGGTGTTGACTAGCTAGCTACCTTCCCTCTCGTCTGTCACTTCTAAAATTAGGAACGGCTAGTTCATATAGCCCTCGAGTAGCTATGTGCAAAATTCAACAAACAAATGGTCTGCAATTATTTTTAATTGGAGAATTTAAACTTTATAGCTTCCATGAATTAAAATTTTCTAGTGTTGTAAAATTGATCAATATATAATGACATTCCTAAAAACTAATTCCATTTTGAATTCATAAAATATAAATAAATATTTCATTTTAAGTATGACTTTAGATTATCAAATGCAATCACATTACATTTTATGCACAAACGGCTATTCCAGGTTTTAGTAACATTTTACGTGAAATATTAAGTTCATTACAAAACGAAGTAGCAAGATTTACATTGTTTAAAGTACGTCCTACTTTGGTGTGAATATTTCCAAAATGCAGTGTGCCTGGGAGCTTTATAAGCAAACTTTATCTGTTATAAAATGAAAAGCAGGAATGAATTCAGCCAATTTTTAACAAAGGAACAGAGCAATACAGATATGTGGAGATGAGTTTCTGAATCACAGTTTTTAGTGTATACTGGACTTTCAGTGTTAAAAGCCTTATTTGCAAATATATATATATCTATATATATCAATGGTATCACAAGTAGTCGCATAACCGCCTCAACTGGAAAAAAGTAACTCTTCTGAAATAACTCAAATCTGACAATAGTACTAAACAGTGTTGTCATTAATAATTTCAAAGAATAATACATTAGTTAAGAGGGCCTGGAATGGTCTGGTAGTTAGGGCACTCGACTCGAAATCTTGAATCCCCATCACACCAAACATACTCGCCCTTCCAGCCATGGGGCGCTATAGCGTGATGGTCAATCCCACTATTCGTTGGTAAAAGATTGGCCCAAGAGTTGGCCGTGGATGGTGATGACTAGCTGCTTTCCCTCTAGTCTATCATTACTAAATTGGGAACAGCT